AGTTGTTTGAGCTGGCATCCTGTTACATGTCCAGTTATCTCATGGGCAACCACTTGCTTCCATTTCAGCTTCAAACCTCTTAGTAAAATAACTAAATAGTGATTTCCTGCACCCTTTTGATTTCCTAATGTACATTTACCAATAAATTTACGTTTTGAAATATCAAAATCAGGATTGCCAGAAATCTCCATTTCATCCAATGATAAAATACAGTCTTTATCACTAGCATTCATTTTTTCTCCTTTAATTTTCAAAGGTTCAATCATCTCACTGATGACTCCAAAATTCATTTCAAGACCTTGAAGTCTTTTATTTAAAGTGCTGTATGAAAGCACGGAAAACCTATTCTGTGCAAGTAATTATAACCATGCTTGCCCAAGGCAAATCTAACTTTGAGGACTTTTATTATTCCCTCGTTAGACCATTTTGCAATGCTTCTACGAGGAATTTTCAACATTGCTATTTGTTCATCTGAAAGAAATGTTTTCACTCCTTTCAGCAATTCCTCATGCTGTACTTGAAGGTCATGAAGTTGAATTTCAGTGCTATGCCATTTTTTTAAAACATTAATTTCATTTTTTTTTTTGGTTGCTGTAAGTTCTTTCAGTAATATTTTGTTCTGGCATTGCAGAAGCGAGATCAATTCAGTCTGCTGTTTTATAAAATTCCTTAAAAGAACATCCTGGAATAAAGAAAAAATCTATATGAATAATCATCAAAGAAGGGGGGGGGAAAACAAACAAACAAACAAAAAAGATCTGAAAGGTTTCAGATTTTAAATTACACCCAAAGGGGCCTTTTTTTAACATTTGTGGTTTTACCTTTATTTATTAAATATCAAGTTTTTCACACTTAAACTATAAAATTCAGTTCAACAGCAATATTGCAAGATAATTTTAAAATGAACATATCTTCAGAATTCCCGATTCATTGTCTCACATGCTGGAGATAAAAGTGTCTTTTCTGTACAACATTGCCATTGCTCGCTTTGAAATCCTCAAGTTTGTTAATCAAAAATTTGTTAAAGTTTTACAACATATAAAATATATATTAAAACAAATTCCGAATTTCAAGTTCGGTCTTCCAGATGTCCATATTCACAGTAGAATTAAGTCATTCAAAATTTGATGGCTCTAGGTACCGTTGTTTTTATCAGAATGCAAAAAAACATACATGCATTTATGCAGATTCTTCACTATATAATTTCTTTAAATATAGTACAGGGTGATAATATTTGGTGGCAACAATTTGAAAAGTGATGCAGCCGTTTATAGTGTTTCAATACAAAACGAAAACAATAGTCCTTCAGGGACAAAGCCCCTTTGGATTAAATGTCAAACTTAAACAGATAATAAATCCACAAAATAAAAATGCAAGTTCCAGGTCTCTTTTCCTATACTGTGGTGGGTTTTTAAATTTGACTCTATTGTTTTCAGCATTTTCTAGATTATTTTTGTTTTATTTTCTAATATTTAAAATTTATTTCACTTAAAAATAGATTTTTAAAATTTATTTCCAGCTTTTCAAGGGATCGATTATCTCCATAATCATGAGCAATTTAATAACACAAATTATCAACTTATATCACAGCCTTCACAAATGCTGATGAAATTAATTAAAATTAATTACAATTTGGTTGCAAGATGAATCTAAAGGTTGTTTTTGCAAACAAAACTGAAATTTACATAGAGAATTTGCAACTATTGATGAAATTAATTACATTCCTTTTACCAAAAAATTACTTTATAGAACATTTTAAATGCATATAAGGAAGCAATTTAATTATACATTAGTTATCAACTTACATCAGAGCCTTCACAAATAGATGGTATTTCATTGCAAAATGAGGCTAAAGGCTGTTCTTGCAAACAAACCTGAAATGTACACAAAGAATTTGTAAATGCTGATGAAATTAATTACATTCCTTTTACCCCCCCCCAAAAAAAAGTTAATAGAAACGTTTTGTATAAGCAAGCAATTTAATAATACACTAATTATCTACTTACATGAGATCCTTCACAAATAGATGGCATTTTATCACAAGATGAAGTTGAAGCTTGTTCTTGCAAACAAACCTGAAATATATATATAAGAAATTTAGAAATACAGATAATATAAACTACATTCATTTTAAGAAATAATTATTTTACATAACATTTTATAATTCATAAATAGATAATAAATTGTTAACACTCAAAATTCAAAAATAATTCCATAGCACAACAGCCAGATATAGTACAGCTGTTTAGCAACCATAAGACAAACAATTTCATATTTCAGAAATCGTATAAAAATTCATTAATATATGTAAAACATATGACATTTAATAGCTGCTCAAATGAAAACATAGAATAGAATAGATTCTTTACTAGCAGCTGTTATTTAATCAGAAGGTAATGCTAAATGTTGTTGCAAACACACCTGAGATGTACTGTAATGTACACATTTGCAACCACTGGTGAAATGAAATAAAGTGCATGATTATGAAGATGGAAACATTTAAAAAAAACATAGTACAGTTTACGAATAGATGTTAAAAAACTATTAAAATTTTTTAGAAGTGCAAAATGGCAATTTACATCAGATACTTCGGCAGCAAAATTTATTTCTCCAAAATATGAAGCTGAAGGTTGTGGCAAATGAACCTAAAAGAAATTATAATATATGAAATATGTGGAAGTGAAAGAAAGAAATTATAAACTCTGATCGGATAAAAATAAATACAAATAATCATTACCATTTTCAAAGTAACTCAACTTATAAAAAAGCATAAATACATTGGACTGTTCATAGCATTCATACTTCTTAAACATAAGTAAATATTACGTTAATATATTTTTAAATTTTAGAAACAGTGTTAATACTTTTTAGAAAAAGTTTATAATACTAAATATTTAATAACTGTTCAAATGAAGACTTACAACAGATGGTTCAGCAACAGAAATCGCTTCAGTTGATAAAGGTAAACTGTGCAGCAAGCCACCCTGAAGATGCAAAAATTATGAAACACATATAAGTAAGGATACCTGAAAATGCTGATAAATAAAATATACTTAATGTAATTTTAATAATAAATAATATAAATAATCCTAATAAGTTTTGTAAATCTTTAAACAAAAAATAACAACATTCAGACAAGACATATAAGACATTAAAATATACATTTAAATCAATGTATTATAACTATATTATTGTATTACTCAAGATTAAAGTTATTAATTTCAATATTATTTCTTTTACTTACTCCATACATATTTCTCTCTATTTATCTGGAATTTAAAATTAAGCAAAAAAGCAACTTTAGTTTAATACAAATTTTGATTTAAACTCTTTTGACTTTGAAGGCAATCAGATACCGGTTTCTTTCTTTTAGGAGCAAATTTGAAGAAGAAACCAGACCCATGTATGACCGTCCTCGAAAAACTACAAAAACTTTATCCAAAAACTACATCAAATTGAGGTTTTATGCTTAATTTTCAATATATGATTATAATAACAAAGTACATACTTAATTATATATATAACAACAGCAAAATTTTAATTTTTTAATCTAATCTTAGGGACTGTAATTACAGCTTTATCACATAATGCCTTAATTTCAATATTTTGATTCTTTTATAAAGCAATTTAGTCCATTTGTAATAAAAACATATTTTTTTATGAAAAACCATAAAAATAAAAAACACATACATTACAAAAATTGGATGTAACTGAACGGTGCTTTGGTAAACCAATGCCTTTTAGACGCTGTGGGGTCAACAGTTGTGGGGGATTAGGCACATTGAAAAGAGTTGGCACAGCATTGGGCTTGAGTGAGTTTTTTACGCCCATCTTGCCTAGAGCATTCAAATTGATTTTCTTCAAAATGTACCTGCATATTTAACAAAAGCATGCATGAAATTTAACATTAAAATCAAAAGCACTAGTATTAAATTACAGTTACATATATTATAATAATTTAAGAATGTAATTTTCTGATAAATTTAAATTTTTTTATGAAAATAGAACAAAATTTTTAAAAAGTAATCATGTTTGTAAAACTACTTAAAACATATTTCCTGCTCACACACTAAAAATAAATTTAAAGTACCTATAGTTAAAAATACAACATTAAGATTTACTACTACAATAATATTTAAATTAATATTTAACTTCTTAAAAATGTCTAAAAATACAGAATATATTTATCTTACTATAAAGAAAAAACAAAATCATTTATTATTTGGATCATACCATCCAGTTTTTAACATTGGCGCCAACTATCCGATTTGGCGACAATACATCAGAATCAAAACATAGAATGCTACTTTAAATCACCAATCGTACAGTAAAATTAAAGAAAAGAAAAAGGCACATCACATTTCTAACTGAGCACAAAGTTTACATGAAATGTATGATACAAATTTTACAAACGGTATAAACTTTTCACGATAACAAAAGAAACAACGATATTTTACTGCACAAACACATACACATTCCGCAGTTGATTTTGTACTTATAAAATCAGTTGATCGTCAATAAGTGACAGTTAAATGAAAATAAATATTTTTAAAGTACCAAGAAGAGTAATTTTTCTAACATTCTATGGAAAAATACGAAGCTGAACTTACCTCACAAAGATACGCTCCTGGGCCCGGGATCCATTGATCTCGACGACGAGAATTAACTATCCATTTTCTTCGTCTTTCTTCATTTCTAGGGAAACGAAACATCCTAAAGTTATTTTTAGACTGATTCGAACAATTTGGTGCAGCACAACCACCCATTTTTCTGAAAATTAGGTCGGAATCGATCCACAAATATGTCAAGAAATCAGTGCTAATCCAATAGCGAATACCAACAAGTTAGCTTCAAAATGGATGATGATTCAGCTCCCCTTTATAGTAGCCTTAAGTCAAAACATTCCTCAGGAAGCTAAAATCCTGAAAAACAAGTGGAATAAGACAAAAAAAAAATAGCTTGGCAAACCTTTTTTTTCACATTAGATTTAAATTTTGTTTAGAATTACGAATTTAAATAAGCATGCGAACAGTAGATTTGTTTATCCGCATGTATTAACAAATGTGGTAATTGTTCCCCCTCTTTCTGATAGTACCGCTAATCTGAAAGATAAAGACTATGAATGCAGAGTAGGTGTTGTATATTTTCAGATTTAAGCAGGAAACATTTGTTCTGATACGTCAAATAATCTTCTTCGTATTATCGTAATATTTATTAATTTCATTTAATTTAATAGCATTATAGAAAAACCTGTGGGGTTATATGTACATTTCTATCTTTGTAAGTGCTTATTTATTTATTTCGTCATTATATTTCTGTTCTAATAAATTTACCGCCGTACGAATAATGCATTAAAATATGTATGATACTTAGTTATTTAAAAAATAAAAGCGTAGAAAGCATCGCAGGCCTTTCCTTTTTTACCCCGTAAAATGTCGACCAAATATCTGCACATTTGGTTCATGACTTTTTTTGCATTTTCTCATTATGTACGTATTTTCAGCATTGCTGCGTGTTTAATGATGTGCATGTGTTTTCAGCATTGCTGCTTGTTTTATGAGAATCAAAGTCTGACTATGTATTTAAACATATTATCATTTGGAAGTGGCATCTTTTTTTTTTCTGAATTTTTTAAAGTTCAATATCAGTTTTTTAACATACTGTTACACACTGTGCAAACATTTTCTAGGGGTATTTTAAGTTTATAGGCTAATCTTTTCTGTAATTTGATGGGTTTTGTCAGTGGGCTAAATTATACTTTCATATGATCTTAAACATTTTGGTGATCAGTGGTTTTTAGTTTGCTGTAAATACTTTCTTTAAAATGTATAGTATAATTTTCGCCACCCTTAAATATATTTCTACTGTATTGTTAACTGTGGTATTCAAAGAATTATAAAAATTGTGAGGCAGTTGAATGCATGGAATAAAGGGAACATTCTTATGTCTGATAGATGGGTACAGAAGTTTTTCAAAATAAGCAAAAGAACCTTAGGTCTTCAAGATTTTTTGTAGTATTAAAGAGTTGGTACTTTCCAGAAATAAGGCACATGTTGAAAGAATGCTTTCTATTATGAACAGTAGGTAACCAAAGGGGAAATCTAGGTTAATCATTAAGGCAATGCTTATCGTAAATAGTGATATAAAACTGTTACAGAGTGTGAGAAAGTTTGGTGAAGTGTAGAGAGATTAAAATGTTATATAAGATAATTTCATCAGAGAAATATTCATAATACAGTTCTATGACTACTATGAATATTTCTCTAATGAAGTAGTATATATACCTAAATATGATTCATGTTTAAGTATGCCATTTTATGTGAGTTCTGTTTCAGAAGAATAAGGGTAAGCTTAACATGAATATGCATAAAACACTTTTCGTCAATCTTTTTTTTTTTTTTTTTGTCATGGTTAAGTCTTGTCTTGTTCTTGTGTTCTAGAAATATGGTAATCTTATTTATAATGCTGTAGCTAATTAAACTTTAATTTCATTCTGCCCTATCATTTCAAACTTTCATTGATATTTAAGTCACACACTGTTAACTGAAAGTAGATCTTGCATCTTATTCAGCCCTCCAGAGCCTGACTAAGGCAGGGGCATATGGGGCAGTTGTCTTGGGTCCCCATGTCAGAGGGGGCCTCCAGGTCGAATAGAATGTTTATTTTACGTTTCCTTCTTTAATGAACTATTTTTAAATATCAGTACAGTGTAAGATCCGTCAATCAATCAATTTTATGTTACCTTCTTCATTAATCTAACGTATGAACGCAAAAATTGTATATTTCGTAAATCCATGACTTTCTAGGGTGGAATTCAGCTAAATTTTTACAATTACGATAGACAAATTTGGCCGATAAAAAGCCTGTATTTTTACATGTCTCAAAATAGGATATGTTTACAAAAATACTGACTTTTGATTGGTTTAATTGAGCCATCATAATTTCGAAAATTTAGCTGAATTCCGTCCTTATTTCAGCAAGGATATGAATTTTTTGCAGCTAGATGACAAAGTTAACAATTGGAAAACTGCATTTCGGAAACTTGTGAAAAGTTCACAGACTGCAGCAATATGATTGTTAACTAGCTCATCTTAATAGCAACCGCAAAAAATTCAGTTGTATCATGTTTGTTGGATTTTTGCGACACTGAGAAATCGCAATAATCAATTATAAGTTGTATTTTCTTAAAATTCTCACATAATGTCAAATATTCTTTTGATTAATTAATTCCATTTGCAAGACTGTGAAAATTTACCTGGATCCCTTCTGAAATATCGAATGATATAAAACTGTAGTGATGACTGCAACCGGAATCTTAACTGTTTGTCTATGGTATTTTTCATTAATTCAAATTGCTAAAAAAGTCTTTACATTTTCTAATTATAAATATAAATAGCATTTTTGTCAAATTTTGGCTCTTCAGATGTGCTATATCCTTGTAATGAGAGACGTAGAACTGTCAGAAAATCGACAAAATGGACAGAACAGTATTTCGATTGACCATTGGGGAGGGGGGGGGGCGGACTTTATAGCTATTTTAGGTTCTAGTCAATTTTCTTGTTATATATCTATAATGAGGTAAAAATTTAAATACCTTCATAAAGTTTGATTCTTTATTACTTAAGTAGTGAAGCAGAGGGGTCCGCCAAAGAAGTTTTTGTCCCGGGCCCCAATTAGGCTAAGTTGGGCCCTGCACCCCTCAGATACTATTTGTATGCAACACCTTTACATGTTTTTTGATATTTTTATAGAATGATGCTAAATGGTGTGTTTATGGACAGTATTTTTGTTTTCTTTGTAATTTTTCAATACTGTGTTAAATAATTAAACTTTTTTTTTTTAATCTCTGGAAGAACTGATATGTCAATGTGCTACATAACTTGAAAAGTTTCTTACAATACTTATGCATTTTCTCCTCCATATATTATCTAAATGTAGTTAGATAATATTGTTAGATGTATATCAACAAAATCATTTGTGAGGATTGTGCTGTTCTTTAAAATTATATCTGAATAAAATCTGAATATGCATTAATTATGTAATGTGTTCTGATCATGGGATCATCAGTAGGATCATCAAGGCATAAATTAGTGGTAATTATGGAATTTTTTCTAATATTTGTTTATACATTATTTTCTTATAAAAGTATTTTAATATTTTCTTAATATTATTATAGTAATTTCTTATTAAATAAAAGAGAAATTACTTCAGCATAATAGAATGATACTTTCCATAACACAGTATCAAGTATTTCTGAACAGATATTAACCTTTTATAAACAAAGACTGTAAGTTCCTTGTCCTCCGAGTTAAAAAGTTGGATAAAAATATATTTCAGGGTACCCCATGGCGATTTTTTGGTGCCATTCCTGTTTACATCCAATGTCCTCCCCAGTAAAATGGCATCCAAAACGTAATTAAAACAAAAAATATATAATCTCAATAAACTGCATTTTAAATCAAACAAGGGACTAATATAAAAATGGAAATACAAGTTTTCTAATCTATGCAGTACCAAAAGGAAATATCGACTTGCCTTATTTAAAAATTTCTGTTCCTTTGTGACACACAGATTTCCTAACAGCATCCAAAAACTATCGTCTGACCTAGAATTTGTATACTGCCCTGACCATATAAATTCACAAAAATAAGAATCAAATTTAATTCGGTTTTAATCATTTTAGTATTAGCTTCATACACCCACATCCACATAAAAATCAAAATATCAGTAATACTCAAATGACTCTCCTCAAACCATGACCCTTTTCTAATGGAATGCTTTATATAGTCAGCATTTGAACCTTTTGTTGCGACAAACCCATTCAAAGCTATCTGAATGAACCTTAAGTTGAACCATGTGCATTTGCTTTGCATAAGCTGGAAACTCATAATATTTACTGAGTAAACCTTCATTTACATACCACTCAATTACTGCTTCTTTTCTCATTCATTCCAAATCATACAGAAACTTTAGATTAACCTTATCACAGGCAGCCGTTTTACGGTGTACAGCACAAAATAATTAAAATACTTCCTATGCGACATCCAACGAAGAAACAAGCTCTGAGAAATTAAAATCACTGTGATGATGCATTACAGTACAAAAATCCGAGATCCAAACTCTTCGGGACTTCCGCGATTCTGAATTTGGGATTTTTCTGGATATTAGGTAATCAGTTTAAAACTAGTAAGATGGCATGTGGAAATTAAAAATATGAAATTGTGATTTATGAAATAATGAAGCATTTATGATCTAAAGGGTATCAAAATTTACAAAAAAAAAAAAAAAAAAAAAGCTTAATATTTATTTGTTTACTTTATTAAAAATTTCTGTCAATGTAAATTGTTTAAGTTGCTTCGTTTTTTTGTGCTAATACTTTCTCTTTAAGTCTGTAGACGGACATAATTTCTTGTTTAGTTAAATTGAAGTCCTATAACTGGTGTGTCGAGAATTCGGAGTAACTTATCAAATCAAAATCTTTCATCTTCAGTAACCTCTCTGTCATTTTCTTCACTATTGGTGCGGTATTTTCTGAATCTAGAACCATATTACAGATTTTGCCATACATTAATTGACTGATGATTGAGGATCATTATCATTACAATAAAATGCTTCTTTTACAGCATCTTCATTTATTACCGTTTCTCTGCATTTCTTTACAAAATCTGTTAATTGGAAAATTTCACCTTTGGCTTGTGATAACCGAAAACCTTCAAAATTCAGGTCTGTTATCATAAAATTTAGCTATTATTCACTATACATATTTGGCTATGTATCGTGAGATTGGCAATCAATGACAAGTTGTTTTGCTAAATTTTTTTATCTTGCTTCTATCTCGCACTGAGGCAATTAACCGGAATTGCATTAGCTTAGCTATTTATTATACTTATGTCTATTTCTTGCACTATTGGAGTCCTGAATAAATAAATACCCACATATACTTAAGGCATACTGAGGGCCAGCACTAGAGCCTGATCCAGTCTCTGTGGGTCCTAAATTCTGCTACCAAGCGCCTCCCTTTTCTTTCCTAAATTCTGCTACCTGGTGCGGCCATACGAGCGTTGGTTCTGGGTTTATGCTAATAACAAATCAGTTATTCTTAATTCAAATAGCACCAAATGTAATCTTTTGGCTTATGAGTATCATTAACAAAATTATTTTTTGCGTATGGAAAGAAATTTTATGTGTGTTGAAGGGGTATCCACTCGGCGACAGTGATTCCCTATCTTTGCTTTCCTGATACAGTTTAAATTTTTCCTCGTCAACATTTCTTAGCATAA